CGCGTCACGAACTTCCGGCACACGGTTGGAAAAGTTAAAATCGGCACATTTGTACTTGCACGCAACAGTACGAAATAATAGTCCCCTGGGCTATTCTTACCGTGATTTCTATGTCCACGAAACTCGCATAGCTGGTAGAATTAGTTTTTTCTTATAGAAAATTTTCCCGGCTTTCTGAATATATAGGTTTATTGCGTCGCAAACTTATGGCACATTGTCGTAAAAATTAAAAACGGCGCATTTGGACTGGCGCGCGCTTGTTCGAATGGTAGTTACCTGGTCTTTTCGGTCCCCGATAACTATGTGCTCAAATGTCCCATAGCTAATAGAATTAGTTTCAGTGTATAGAGAATTTTCCCGGCTTTCCGAATATATAGGATTTTGGCGTTACGAACTTCCGGGACATGGTCATAAAAGTTAAAATCGGCACATTTGGACTGGCGATTGCTTGTTCGAATAGTAGTTACCTCTTCTTTTCGGTCGCCGACTACTATATGCCCAAATGTCACATATCTCCAATAATTAGTTTTTTCTTATAGACAATTTTCCCGGCTTTCCGAATATATAGGTTTATTGCGACGCAAACTTTTGGCACATTGTCGTAAAAATGAAAAAAGGCGCATTAGGACTGGCGCGCGCTTGTTCGAAAAGTTTTTACCTGGTCTTTTCGGTCGCTGACTACTATGTTCTCAAATTTCCCATAGCTAATAGAATTAGTTTCATCTAATAGAGTATTTTCTTGTTTTTCCGAATATGTTGGTTTATCGCGTCACGAACTTCCGGCACATGGTCGTAAAAGTTAAAATCGGCACATTTGGACTGGCGCGCGCTTGTTCGAATAGTAGTAACCTGGGCTCTTCGGACGCCGATTTCTGTGTCCACGAATCTCGCATAGCTGGTAGAATTAATTTTTTCTTATAGAAAATTTTCCCGGCTTTCCGTATATATAGGTTTATCGCGTCACGAACTTCCGGCACATGGTTGGAAAAGTTAAAATCGGCACATTTGTCCTTGCACGCAGCAGTACGAAATAATAGTCCCCTGGGCTATTCGGACGCCGATTTCTATGTCCACGAAACTCGCATAACTGGTAGAATTAGTTTTTTCTTTTAGACAATTTTCCTGGCTTTCCGAATATATAGGTTTATTGCGTCGCAAACTTCTGGCACAATGTCGTTAAAATTAAAAACGGCGCATTTATACTGGCACGCCCTTGTTCGAATAGTTTTTACCTGGTCTTTTCGATCGCCGACTACTATGTGCTCAAATTTCCCATAGCTAATAGAATTAGTTTCATCGTATAGAAAATTTTCCTGGCTTTCCGAATATATAGGTTTATTGCGTCGCAAACTTATGGCACATTGTTGTAAAAATGAAAAAAGGCGCATTTTGACTGGCACGCACTTGTTCGAATAGTAGTTAGCTTGTCTTTTCTGTCGCCGACTACTATAAGCCCAAATGTCCCATAACTAATAGAATTAGTTTCATCTTATAGAGAATTTTCCCGGCTTTCCGAATATATAGGATTATTGCGGCTCGAACTTCCGGGTCATGGTGATAAAAGTTAAAATCGGCACATTTGGACTGGCGCAAGCTTGTTCGAATGGTAGTTACCTGGTCTTTTCGGTCCCCGATAACTATGTGCTCAAATGTCCCATAGCTAATAGAATTAGTTTCATGTTATAGAAAATTTTCCCGGCTTTCTGAATATGTAGGTCTCATGTTCTGCGATCTGTTGACACATGGTCGGAAAAGTTAAAATCGGCACATTTGTACTTGCACGCAGCAGTATGAAATAATAGTCCCCTGGGCTCTTCGGACGACTATTTCTATGTCCAAGAAACTCGCATAGCTGGTAGAATTAGTTTTTTCTTTTAGAAATTTTTCCCGGCTTTCCGAATATATAGGTTTATTGCGTCGCAAACCGTTGGCACATTGTCGTAAAAATGAAAAAAGGCGCATTTGGACTATCGCGAGCTTGTTCGAATAGTAGTTTCCTAGTCTTTTCGGTCGCCGACAACTAAGTGCCCAAATGTCCCATAGCTCCAACAGTTAGTTTCATCTTATAGAGAATTTTCCCGGATTTCTGAAAATATAGGTTTATTGCGTCACGAACTTCCGGCACATGGTCGGAAAAGTTAAAATTGGCACATTTGGACTGGCGCGCAGTACGAAATAAAAGTCCCTCGGGCTATTCGGAAGCCTATTTCTTTTTCCACGATACTCGAATAGCTAATAGAATTAGTTTCATCTTATAGATAATTTTCCTGGCTTCCGAATATATAGAATTTTTGCGTCGCAATCTTCTGGCACATTGTCGTTAAAATGAAAAACTTCGCATTTGGACTGGCGCGCGCTTGTTCGAATATTTTTTAAGCTATTGCATAGCTTTTATCGCAGGTCTGGTGTAGTGACTGAAAAAAATTTTTCGTAACGAAAAAGCGTGACCACTTTGTTTATTTATATATACTATGGCAACCTGGTGACCATACCAACGCATAGCTAAATTATAATTTAATTTTGATAACAGTTATTTATTTTTAAATAACAACGACTATGAACATCAAGCGCTTATAAATATAATGGTTTTGTTATGGGTTGCTGTAGCAATAAATTTATATATATAAATATATAATATATAATAATATATTATTAATTTTATATAATATATATAAAATATAATATATTATAGCAATAAAAACATAAACTATAGTTTCTATGATACAAATTCCTGAATAAATAGAATAATAAAAAAATTTAAATTTATATCAACTTCTTATTTATTTAATATGCAATAGCTTTATCGCGGCAGTCCCCGAATGCCACTTTTAATATTATCTGGTCTTTTCGGTCCCCGATAACTATGTGCTCAAATGTCCCATAGCTAATAGAATTAGTTTCATCTTATAGAGAATTTTCCGGTCTTTCCGTATAAATAGGCTTATTGCGTCACGAATTTCCGGCACATGGTCGGAAAAGTTAAACTAGGCATATTTTTATTTGCACGCAGTAGTCCGAAATAATAGTCCCCTGGGCTATTCGGACGCCGATTTCTATGTCCACGAAATTCGCTTAGCTGGTAGTATTAGTTTTTTCTTATAGAAAATTTCCCGGCTTTCTGAATATATAGGTTTGATGTGTTGCGAACTGCCAACACATGGTCGGAAAAGTTAAAATCAGCACATTTTTACCTGCACGCAGCAGTACAAAATAATAGTCCACTGGTCTTTTCGGTCACCGATAATTATGTGCTCAAATGTCCCATAGCTAATAAAATTAGTTTCATCTTTTAGAGAATGTCCACAAAACTCGCATAGCTGGTAGAATTAGTTTTTTCTTATATTAAATTTTCCCGGCTTTCTGAATATATAGGTTTGATGTGTTGCGAACTGCCAACACATGGTCGGAAAAATTAAAATCGGCACATTTGTACTTGCACGCAGCAGTACGAAATATTTTAAATTTCTAAAATTCTGTATTACTCTGTTATTCATCAAACATCATTATGTCATCAAATAAAAGTAATAGGGCAAATAACTTTTCCTTTGAGGAAAAAGAACTGTTATTAAAATATGCAATTGAAAATAAATCTGTACCGGAAAATAAAGTGTCCAACTCTGTGTCTTGGAAGGACAAAAACCAGTGCTGGTTAAAAATTAGTGAAGCATACAATTCAACCGCATCAGGCGGTGTAAGTTCTAAATAAAAATTTAATAATCTTCAATAAATATGAATTAGATATACATTTTTTTTTATAAATAACAGCCCAGAGATGCTGCAAGCTTGAGATTAAAATATGAAGGATTAAAAAGATTATTGAGAGGAAGTAAAAGTAATTTATTTAAGACTGGAGGTGGCCCTCATGAAAATGATTATACTTGCTCAAGTGAATTAGAAAAACAATTATACAACATAATACAATTGTCGGTTGAAGGGTTGCCTTCAAAATTCGATAGGGATGCTGGTCAGTCACTTTTTATTGCCAAAATATTTTTTTAATATGTATTATATAATTTAATAATTATTAAATTGACTTTTAAGTAGTTAACATAAGTAATATTGAAAAGAACATGAAGTTGAAAATGAAATAATAGATGAATCTGCCGTTGATATGTTTGCTCAATATGATTTTGTGTTTGATAACCATAATGAAGATCTTTCAACTATTATAGTTGGCCAGTCAGATAAAGGTATTTTCATTTCTTATAAAGTTAACTTTATTAAACAATATTAAATGTTAATTATTAAAATCTCATCTGATTTGAGGTATGGAAAAAGAACCAACTGTTGAAAAGAATTGGGCACCAATTGATTCTACAAAATTATTAAAATCAACTGGAAAGCATCAAAAACTTAATATGAGAAAATACTAAAGCTTTAAAATAAAAAAAAAATTAGTTTTTAATATACCATAATTTATTAACCTATATTGTTTTAATGAATAATATAAACTTTCAGCTGGTAATTTAAAAAGAAAAAACCATTCACAAGCTTCAGTATTAGTGAAAAGTTTACATTGTTGGCAGAAAAAAAATGGAATTAATTGAAATGCAATGGTGACAACAGAATTAGAATTTCTAAAAAACAAACATGCTCTTGAATTACAATTATTGGAATTGGACGTATCATTGAAAAAGCAAAAGTTGGAAAATGACAGGAAATAATAGAAATAGTTTATTGTTGTTTATTTAAATTTAAATGTTAATATTGTTTAAAATCCTGATGAGATTACCAGGTAAAAGTGATAAATTTATTTTAAAACATAAAAGTTACTACTAATACTAAGTACCTATTAGTTGTAAGTTGTTATAAATATATGTTCTTCATTTATTTGTTTTATTATATATGTTTATTTTAATTTTGTTTTAAATTTAAGAATTATAACACATACATTAAATATAAAAATATTATTAAGAACTATTAATTTTTAAAGTATACATTGTTAATTTGGTTTCTACTGAATGCAATTTTACACAATAAAGTTACATTTTTAACAGTAACTACAAATGTGCAAAGTAATCAACCACTAATTGTTGTCTTGCATTTCCTTCTTCAATCAGTTCTTCTATTATATTTATATTTTCATTTTCTGGTAAAAATAAATCTAATAATTTTGGTGGATCTAGATCATTGTTGTCACAAGCAATGTTGTGTAAAACACAGCAAGCAACAATAACTGCCTGAGTTGTTTGTAACTTTAACCGTAATCCTAAAGATAATACTGGAAATCTGCGTTTTAGAACTCCATATGACCTTTCTACAGGATTTCTAGTTCTTATAATTGATTCGTTGTACAGCTGTTCAATGCGATTTTGAGGATTAATGAAAGGTGTGACAATGTGACGAGAATTAGCATAACCACTGTCCGCTACAATCAAACCATTTCCCCATTTGCCACTGATTAATTGGGTATATACCTTTGATTTTTTAAATATTGTTTGATCATGGCAAGACCCGGGCCAACGAGCTACAATATCCATAATTTTTAAGTTAGGACAAGCAATAGTTTGGACATTTAATGAAAAATATCCTTTTCTATTTCTGAAGTATTCAGCATTATCTCCACCTATATAAACATTTCATTTTTATTTATTTACTAGCTGATCCCGTGCACTTCGTCGCCCGTTAAATGGATCAACTCAATACTACCTACTCAAACTTTGTTCAATTCATTAACGTGTATGGTGTTCAAAATTTATCTTATCTTTCCCGTTTCCCTGAATAAAAATTCTGAATCGCAGCAGTACATTATCAGGTAGGCAATCCCGTGCTGTTTGTACGGAAGTGTATGATTTAACTCTAAAGTATCAAAGTTATACCAAGTTTATTTTGATGTAATACTGTGGATTAATATAATAAATTTGGTAGCTCGTAAAAAATCGCAACTCTTAAAAAAATTATGATTGTTGAACTCCTTTTGGGTGTAATTTTCTGCGGTAAGTGCAACTCTGCCACCCTGGTAAGCATTGTTCAATAATTCGATTTGATGCAAGCTTGTACCTGATCTGCCCGAATAACCAATGGCAACCAATAAATAAATGCTAATTTCTAATGTAGACTGTAACCAATGGCAACTATAAATAAATAAAAATAAAATTTCCAATTTCTATCGTGAATCTCAATGTCCCTGTTTCAGCACCTATTTAAAATGCGAATTTTGCCAAATCCTTTCTTAGCGCACGTCTATATTATAATAGCTATCTGTATGCCAAATTTCAGCCAGATCCGTCCAATGGTTTGAGCTGTGCGTTGATAGCAGTCAATCAGCTTACTGTTTTTTATATACAGATATGGTTGCCATGGTAATATGGACACACACACACACACACACACACACTGACATACATTCATTTTTATATATATAGATTGATATGAAATCTTGGTAACCTTAGTAACCATGGCAACCTTGGTAACCATGGTAACATGGACACACAGACACACAGACACACTGACACACTGACATACATTCATTTTTATATATATAGAGAAGAAGAAGAGAAGAGATTATTTATATATTTTATATTTTATTTTTTATATTTATTTATTTATATACTTATATTTAAATACCATTTATATATTCAGTTCCACATTATTTGAAATTGCTTATTACTTATTAGGCAATAAGGGAAAAATATCAATTAATTTACAACACTCCCAAAACATATTATAAAAGATTGCCCTTTAATATACTAATATTTTATTATTTAAATAAATGCAACTGCCAACTGACGATAATGACATTTTAGGCCCCACAAATTTACTCTGCCCCGGGCCCCGCAAATCGTCCGGACAGCCCTGTACTGTACAGTAGAGCGACACCCACTTGCCTACCTTTTTTTACTTGTACAGTTATGCTAATTTTTTTATTTATTTTTATTTTTTATATGAAATATACAATCTGTACCCTGAGGTACAATAAGAATATGGGCTAAATTACAATGACATGAGTGAAGTGTTTTTCTTCTTCTTGGACAGTTTTTACTTTTTATTAGGTACGCTAATTTAAATTTAAATAAAAATCTTGAACATCAAATCGCTAATTTGATAGAAAAATTGTCTATAATTGAAAAAAAAATTGTTTAAATCGTACGCTTTCCAGCTATTTGGTGACGATTTTATGATAATATTATAAATTATAATATTATGTAGTTCCATTTTGCGTAAACTTCGCTAGTAATAAGAATACGAATTATAACATCAAGAAATAAAATAATATTATTCATTGACAGAATTTTTATTTTCTTATCGACGTATTTGGCTATTTATAATCCGTGCGCGGCTGCGATAAATAACCAGTATTAACCTATGGTGCGGTACAGCTGCATATATACCACAATACTATGCTGCATAATATAATGAAAACTTTTTGGTTAAGTTTCAGTTAAAACATATGGGTGACCAATATTTTGAAAACACAAGTTAAGATAGAACGTCATAATATTAATTGATAGATAGTATTTTAAAAATGTTTTGATTATATCTGAGCTTAAATATTTGGACAGTAACCATTATAAAAATGTTTGTAGAAAATATTAATGCAATATTTTATAGGCAATGTATTGAAAATTTTTTGGTTTAAATATTTGGCAGACCAATATTTTCATAATATTTGTTTAGAAATAGAATTATAATATTTAGTATGCAATGTATTGAAAATAATTTGGATATATTTCTTTATAAATATTTGATAAACAAATATTTTCAAAACAGCTAGACAATATTTTCAACATAATATCTTCGACAAAATCATTTTATAAAATTTTGAAAACATTTATATTTTCAAATTTCTATGTGGGATGTGCCCAAATGTCTGACAGCTCCAAATATTAGTTTCATCTAATAGAGAATTTTCCCGGCTTTCCGAATATATAGGTTTATTGCGGTACGTACTTCCGGCACATGGTCGGAAAAGCTAAAATCGGCACATTTGTACTTGCACGCAGCGGTACGAAATAATAGTCCACCGGGCTCTTCGGAAGCCTATTTCTATGTCCCCGAAACTCGCATAGCTGGTAGTATTAAATTTTTCTTATAGACCATTTTCCCGGATTCCGAAAATATAGGTTTATTGGGTCGCAAACTTCTGGCACATTGTCGTTAAAATGAAAAACGGTGCATTTGGACTGGCGCGTGCTTGTTGGAATAGTAGTCCCCTAGGCTGTTCGGACGCCGATTTCAATGTCCAAAAAACTCGCATAGCTAGTAGAATTAGTTTCATCTTATAGAACATAATATAGGTTTATTGCGTCGCAAACTTCTGGCACATGGTTGGAAAAGTTAATATCGGCACATTTGTACTTGCACGCAGCAGTACGAAATAATAGTCCCCTGGGCTCTACGGACGTATATTTCTATGTCCACGAAACTCGCATAGCTAGTAGAATTAGTTTCATCTTATAAAGAATTTATTTTCCGGCTTTCCGAATATTTAGGTTTATTGCATCGCAAACTTCTGGCACATTGTCGTTAAAATGAAATACAGTGCATTTGGACTAGCGCGCGCTTGTTTGAATAGTAGTTCCCTAGTATTTTCGGTCGCCGACTACTATGTGCCCAAATCTCCCATAGATACAACAAATAGTTTCATCTAATAGAGAATTTTCCCGGCTTTCCGAATATATAGGTTTATTGCGCCATAAACTTCCGCCACATGGTCGGAAAAGTTAATATCGGCACATTTGTACTTGCACGCAGCAGTACGAAATAATAGTCCTCTGCAGGGCTGTTCAGACGCCGATTTCTATGTCCACGAAACTCGCATAGCTCCTAGAAATTATTTCATCTTAGAGAGATTTTTCCCGGCTTTCTGAATATATAGGTTTATTGCATCGCAAACTTCTGGCACATTTTCGTTAAAATGAAAAACGGCACATTTGGACTGGCGCGCGCTTGTTCGAATAGTAGTCCCCTGGGCTGTTCTCACGTATATTTCTATGTCCCCAAAACTCGCATAGCTAGTAGAATTAGTTTCATCTTATAAAGAATTTTCCCGGCTTTCCGAATATTCAGGTTTATTGCGGTACGAACCTCCGGCACATGTTCGGAAAAGGTAAAATCGGCACATTTGGACTTGCACGCAGCAGTACGAAATAATAGTCCTCTGCAGGGCTGTTCGGACGCCGATTTCTATGTCTACGAAACTCGCATAGCTCCTAGAAATTATTTCATCTTATAGAGATTTTTCCCGGCCTTCTGAATATATAGTTTTATTGCATCGCAAACTTCTGGCACATTGTCGTTAAAATGAAAAACGGCACATTTCAACTAGCGCGAGCTTGTTCGAATAGTAGTTACCTAGTATTTTCGGTCGCCGACTACTATGTGCCCAAATCTCCCATAGCTCCAACAATTAGTTTCATCTAATAGAGAATTTTCACGGCTTTCTGAATATATAGGTTTATTATGTCGAGAACTTCAGTTACATGGTCGGAAAAGTGAAAATCGGGACATTTGTACTTGCACGCAGCAGTACGAAATAATAGTCCCCTGGGCTCTTCGGTCACCGATTACTATATCAACAAATGTCCCAAACCTCCTTTAATTAGATTCATCATATAGAGAATTTTCCCGGCTTTCCGAATATTTAGGTTCAATGCTTCGCGAACTTCCGGAACATGGTCTTAAAAATGAAAAATGGCGAGTGCCGCGTGGGCACTGGCGCGCGCTTGTTCGAATTATTGTTACCTGGTCTTTTCGGACGCCGATTTATATTTCTCCGAAACTCGCATTACTCCTAGAATTAGTTTTATCTTCTATTTAATTTTCCCGGGTTTCCGAATATATAGGTTTATTGCGTCGTGAACTTTCGGCACATGGTCGGAAAAGTAAAATCGGCACATTTGTACTTGCATGCAGCAGTACGAAATAATAGTCCCCTGGTCTTTTCGGTCGCCGATTACTATGTGCCCAAATGTCTCATAGGTCCTAGAATTAGTTTCATCTTATAGAGAATATTCCTTGGTTTCTGAATTTATAGGTTTAGTTCGTCGCCACTTTCCAGAACATGGACGGAAAAATTAAAAACCGTGCATGCTTCGGCGCTCCCGCACGGGTGATTTTTCTATGGCTCGTAACTAGCACGTAGCGCTAATACATAGTCCCCAATTCCAAAGTCAACCAAACCAAGGATAACCATGTTGCTTCCAAAAAATAATTAAAATCTACAAAATAGTATTTAAAAGAAGTAAAAGGCTTTCTGTGAGTAAGTTGTAGCGATTGGATGAACAAATAGAATTTTGATATTAATAAAGAAGTGAAATCAATCTCAAATTTTGTGCCTGAACTTGAAAAAATATAATTTCACAAAATTTCAAGATGTTCAATTGTACAAACATTGAAAAATAAAAAATATCACAGAACGGCGTATATAAATTATGAAATTAGCCATATATCGGAGTTGTCGACTTGTTAACAAGTTCATCTGTCTGACTTGAATTATTGTTGACAATCTATAATTCATGAAGTTCTGTGCTATTTTTTTTTTCAATGTTTGTACAGTTGAACATCTTGACATTTTTGTGAATTGATATTTTTTAAAGTTGTTTCACAGAATTTTGGGTTTGATTTCACTTTTTTATTAATCTCAAAATTCTACCTCTTCAACCATGGGTCTTTTTGGTACAGAATTTTTAGATTGATTTCACTTCTTTATTAACATCAAAATTCTATTTGTTCACAAAATCGCTTCAACTTAAGCACAGAAAGCCTTTTTTACTTCTCTGAAATACTTTTTTGTAGATATTATATTATTTCCATTCATTGATTTAATATAATATTGCTGTATATGTGATCATGTGCACAAGCATTCAAAGAATTTCGCAGCCCAGAAACATTGGCCTTACGAGGATACATAAGGATGTAATTTCGTTTGACTAAAATTGTGATGGCGGACATGAAACTTCGGAAAATGTCTATAAAGATATTGAAGGTGAGGAGATAGAATGTGACTGTTGCGGTGCACCATTATTGGACTACCCACACATGGATTGCAGTCATAGACCTATAAAGAAATGGACTGATAACAGAGAGAGAGATCCAGGGGCCAATATTGTTAGAAAAAGATAGCATACAACTTGGGTACCATTTACACCAATTAATAAAAGAGAGAGGGAGAATAGTTCAACAACAAAGATAACAACATTTTTAGAAAAATATAGCATACACCTTAGGTAGTCGGGTCACATTACATTACACATGTATTGACTATCTCTTTCTAACAATCTTATTTCAATAAACTTAAGGCAGGGTGTGGGGGAGTAGCAGTCCTATCTTATTATGTCTATGATTGCAGTGCATGGAAGCGGAACGGTGGGTAATCGGTGACAGGCGAAGTTTATGTAGAAAATATCATAGAATGTCAATATTATCATAAAACTTAATGTTTGTAATATATAATCATTTAGTTATTATTATTTTTAAATAAAATCCTTTATAATATTATGTTGTATAAATTATTATTTTTGTCAAATCCTATAATATGTTTTTTATTTATTGTAGTAAACCGACGGAGTCGCTTTCCTATATATTAAATATCATAAGTACATTCTCACGATATAACACACTGAACATCAACAAGACGATTAATCTTTTTGAATACCTTGAGTTTGGCCGGGATATTAAAATAATAATCTAACTGCTTAATTTACGGATCTTCGCTTTACCAAAATAATGTGAAAACAAACCTATAATTCACTCAATCTTCGCTTTGCCAATATAATGCGAAAACAAATCTATTAAATTGTCAATAATCCACTCGGGTCTTTTGGCAATAACAACATCTAGCTCCGGCTCCTTTCAAATATCCATCTCCTAGACTCTACCGTGTACGTTTATATCCGCATAGATTTTATATAAATATAAGATAATGTCCATAGCAAAATTAGAATTAGTATAGAGTTTGCACTACGTATATACTGTACGTAACTAACTTCTAGGGCAGATTCTTTTCGCTCTGTCCTCAAATTTATTTATACTTAATTGTGAACAATTACTTTTTTTAAACTTTAATAAAATTACTTATATCTAACTTGTGTAACTTGTCACTCTGCAACTTTTTCTCCTATTCAACCGTCAACGTCTTTGAACTCAAAATATAAGCGTTAGTGAGGGATCACTACATTATTTTAAATTTCACGAACAGTTTGCATTTTGTGAAACCTGAAAATTATTTATTTTATTTTCACATTGATCTATTTGGTGGATAAACTTGCATCAGACATTTGCTCAAAACTAAGCCATAAAATTCTACTATACCTACTAACGATATTAGAAACACGGTATTTCATGAACATTGGGATTAAATTGTAGACATAATATATAAATATATAATTAATAAATTAAAGTACTTACCTTTACGGTTTTACATTATTAGAATGTTCCGTGTTCAGTCATACTTTAAATAAATTATTGCTGTTAATCTTCGGTTTTTCAAATACATTTAAACTAATATAAGCTCAATATTTGATCCTAGAACATACTTACATAATATAACTATAAAATAACCATCACCGTGTTGAATATTATTTAAAACAATGCAGCAGTTTTGTCGAGAAAAAGAAATAATCATTTATTTACAAATTTACAATGCGCAATAGAATGCCTACTTTAAAATAATATTAATATAAAAAATGTAACGGGCACTGGTGCCAACCTGATGGACATTTGACGGTTAAGTACAATTTACTATAATATAATAGTAGACATTCAAATTCATCATATTAGTAGATAATGCTATAATAACGATTGGAAATAAAATACACCTTATAAATACAAAAAGTGATCTCTATTATACAGATTGATAATAAAGATTAAATAAACAACTTATTTTAATAAGTTTTAGCATTAACATTTATACAAATATATATCGATGGTAATCTAGACCAAAAACGAACAGTGTGGCGTTTTTAATGTCTGTATTTGTTTGTAACGATCGTGGATATGGTAGTTTTGATGTCTTTTTTTATTACAATTTTGATTAAGGATTCTACTATGTGAATCCCGAAAGAACCGACCTTTTGTCGGACAACTAGCTAGTTACTACCATATCGATTAATTTCGAAGGTTCAAGTATTATATATTAGTACCTAGTCTAGTTGTCTGACAAAAGTTCGGTTCTTTCAGGGTTCACAGAGTAGAATCCCAAATCGAAATTGTAATAAAAAAATATCAACAAAACTACCATAACCACGATTGTCAGAAACAAATACAGACAGGACCAACGCCATGATTTTCGTTTTTGGCCCAAAATACCATCGATATATATATAATGATTGTCACCGCATTGCTTCATCTCTTGGTGATTCGGACCGTGGCGATTCTTGTCATGGTGATCGTCGACATTGCGGTTCTTACTGAGGTTCATATCACGGCAAGATAAACCTCGACACGTACTATAGAGGCGAGGAGCCTCTGTCACCGTTCTCACCGACTTACTGTCGGTCAGTGTGAACCACTTGTTCCAAACACGAAAATCTTTTGACGGTGAAGTAAGCTGGCCTTGTTCAGCAGTGGCCGGTTTCTGTGTAATGGGTACGACGATCGTCGAAGATTCTGGTTCCCAAATCAACGGCATGGCAAACGCGGATAAGAATATACCCTGCAATATGATCATCAATATTTTGATCATCCTAATAGCTGTAAGTTTAAGAAATGGTTTTGTATATTATATAAATATATTACAAACACATAATTGTTATTATTGTGTTATTATTATGTTATATTGCATCTAGGTTACAGTGTAAAATATATTATAAGCGTTTTCAAATAGGTTATGGGTAGTGTACCTACCTTAAAATAATTATTAAATAATAATAATTAAATAATAATATGTTATAACTAGGAACATAATAGCAAAGTAGGTACCTACTTATTTTATTTTTCAATACATTTTTTAATATTTATTGATAATTTTTATTTCAAATTTTTACTTTCAATTATTCACTACCTACTATACTATTGAATAGTTTTCTTAGTGAAATAGTTTTGAATAGTTTTACTATTTCAATTGATTAGTTATTCTATTCGGATTCACTATAGTTATGACTTAAAAATTAAATTAGAAGTACTACTAGGTTTAAATAGTTTTACCACTAGATTTAGAAAGGTGAAATTCTAATATCACTATAATAATATATTATATTAAATATGAAAAGTAATTCCCCTACAGTATTTGTTCACATTAGGATACTATAACTCAATTCAATAATATAATGTTAAAATAAGTCTTATTTTTTTTTTTTTTTTTGGTTGGGGTTGCCTTTTATCCTTTGCTGTCCATATCTCTTTCTAGTGCTCCTAGTTGCACCAATGTTAAGCATGTACTAATTATTGGTTGTCCATTTAGTTGTCTATTTTACTCCTTAATATTAGTATGAACTATAATAATATAGGCAAATCATATTATACAATCTCAAAAATTATAAAAATTTGTTCCCCTCTAATTTAGTACATTGTCCTGTATTAATGTATTATCTTATATAATATTGGCTTCTAACGATTTTATTTTAATTAGTACAAATTTAACAATATTTTACTATTACAAATGCAAAATAAAAACCTGCAAGTTCCAGTAATTTGTCAAATGTCCCACAAACAAAATATGTAAATACTATGAAGATTATGATTTTTAGTTTTGTCTCTTTGACAACGCACCTACAAAATACCAACATTTGGAAATGTAGACAGATTTGTGTTAATTTGTGTTAAATGTGTGAATTGACCTATTATCCAACTTAATTTTAAAACTTAAAAATATAATCTCTTATTGATACTTTTATTGGTATCTTTTAGATTTAAAAAGAAAAATGTTTTTGAATTTCCTAACTCAAAGTAATTTGCAATTTTTCGGGAATTTTAAATGCTAGTAAAAAAAAAACTGTGACTTTATTTTTAATTTTTTCAACTGCCATTGTCACAATATATTAGGAGCCTTGTATTACGTTTCTAAGATTTTTGACCAAACGAATAAAATTTGTTTAAAATTTATAAAAAAAACATAAACATTTTCTGAAAACCTCATTATTTTGAGTAAAAATTCCTGTTTTATTTTTAAACTTTTTTTTGTTTTTCCCACCGCTTTTTAAATCTACTGGGGATTTAATATTTTGAACTCCTGAGCTCACCAACTATATTCACTTTCCCATCGATCAAGATACTAAAGTTCAGAACTGAATCTTTATTTCGATGACTTATCGTGCATACAGACAAAAAAACTCACATCATCGCTCCACTCAAAATCTAAAATAAGAATATGTTCAATTAGTTTTTTACATTTATATTTGTTTGTTTTATATGTTGATTATGGTTGTTATAAATACTATACTCGCCTCTCTAGTTACAAGTAACAAAATAATTCTTTTGATTTTTTCATCAAAGGTATTCTCTAGGTACAAAGTTCTAACGAAATCCGTGTAGCTTTTTTATAAAAATAGTGTGTACTTACTATTCTTGAGATTTTTTCGTACTACTTGAATAAAACTTCTGCAGAATTCTGTTTTTGAGAAAATGTACTGTAAATTATTTATTAAATCATTTTTTTGAAAACGTTGATAATCACCTAATTTAAAATTCGAACCGGTGGTTAAAAATTAAAAGAGTTTTTGAAATTTTTGATTTTTATCTATCTTACTGTGATCTGTTGTACCTACAGTTACATGGTTTTCAGCAATAAAAATAATCTAATACAATAGTAATAGTAATAATTAGGTTATAATATAATATGTCTATTCTGTTTCTCTATAAAACAATATCATAAATATATTGGCACAAAATAATGTGATCCACGTACTAATTAAAAAAGTATAGATGATTTTTTTAAAACAAACTATTTAATTAGCACTCGTTGAGTTAAATTTATTATTAATTTTGTTAACTATTTACTACGACTACCTTGTGTTACTTGGCTAAATTTTAGTTGATAATTTTTTTAACTTGGAGTACCTTGCATAAATGAGCTGTACAGTACAAGTTTATTGTCCCGGGCTGAACGATGTGACGTGGGGTCTATCTGTAGACAATTTAATCAGCCAAACAGGTACATATAATATGGCTTTTCATTGAAGTTCTACAGATGAGCGTCGAAAGTGTAGCTATTAATATTTTAAATAATTATAGAACAACATCACAGAACATTTCCGTAATAACTTAGGTACCTACCTAATGATGTTAATATTATATTCAAAACGTTTTGTGAAAGTTTTTTAATATTTATAATATTAGGTAGAGATTTTTTATTAGTATTATTACGACGTTCGAGTTCGAATTATATTATCAATTAATTTAACCACTATTGATTTGCATTTAATTGTTTTATATTTTTACATAGTTTTTACAAGAAATCGGAGTTGGGAAGTCTGTAAAACGTCCTAAAATATTTTTAACCTCGTTGTGATTAACCGTGAGTGGCTTAAAGGTAATAATGATGTTGAGGAATGTTAGTATTATCTGTGAAACAATCTGACGCCAGCTGAATATATTGTCATATTATGTATGTGTCTGTTTTTTTACGTACACAAACGGTGACACAATGTTAACGGCGACGCCTTAAATGTGTTTACCAGACTCTCTCAAGATAACGATGGATGAACACGTCATTGAGTTTTAATGGATTTTACACGACCAATATATTAGAATATACATAATTACATTACTGTACGACTATCGTTATATATTTACAGCAATACATTTCATGTTTCCAATAACGTTTGACATGTTCTCCTTTTTTTTGGAGTTTGTACATTTCTTTAGAATTTGAACTATTTTGTAGTCGGATAAATTAATGAATTTCGAACTATTCACGAACCATTCACTTATCACTTATGGGTATGAAAAATAGATAGTAGCCGATTCTCAGACCTACTGAATAGGCATATAAAATTTCAGATATTTTCACACTAACATTGTGAGACGAGAATTTTATATATTAGATATAAAAGTATATTTATATATTATAAGATACAGACAACATATTTTCATCTTAATTTGTTGTTCCTTTAATTTTTAAGAATGTAGTAAGCGAGTTACTACGTAACAACTAAAGTCCTAGCAGGTAACATTTCAGGTTGACTAAATATGAAAAGAAATGTTGAGAAATAAAACAAATTATGACTTTGAAAATTAAAATTGTACTTATTATTATACCAGTACCCAGCAAGTATTTACTAATTAATTATCCATCATATTGTGACTGATCAAACAAAATGTCTACATCACACCACAATTGTTTTAATCTGAATCAGCCAAAATGTGTATATGACATAATATTATGGCTTTATTTAATTTTAAAAAATCTTGAAAATTTAATAGAAGGCTCCTATGTATTGTTTCAAAGACAGATAAAAAATATTAAAAATCCATAGTTACGATTTTTTAAGTTATTATTTTAAGTTCAAATATTGACAAAATAAGTAAAATTCACGAAAACGTACAAGTTACATTGAGTTAGAAATTCATAAAAATGTTTCTATTTAAATCTAAGATTTGAAAATGTAATACATGATTCCTCATACATTTGCCTACATTTATTGAAAAAAAATGTCTACAAACAAATCAAATTAAATTTTTCTATAATATATCGAATAATAATATATTATATAATATATATTAGGAAAACATTCCTTAGAAAAGAAAACACATTTCATCGTTTTTTCCAATAACCACTAACGAAACTGCTGGTGGGTATTTAAACGATACATTAAAATGTAATTAAAAAAATTAAATGAACGCATTCATATTTTCTAATAACATAAAAAACGGTTTCATTAGAAAAAAATGCGAAGGTGAACGAATTCAATTTTTTAGTGATCGTTCCGAACACTGGATCAGACAACCTTATTGGTAGACCATTATTACTAATAACAATATCATATATTTTAATAGGTAGTTACCTAGTGAGTTATTCTATTATGTGGTTATACTACCGTTTGAACTTACATATACCGTGATGGCGAGTGTTGTATTGTGTCCGCTTTAGCACTCGACTTTGAATTAGATATATATTGATAAAGACACACACATTTACGTATACTAAAAGTGTATTTATTAAATGTAACAAACGTCTAGTTCTAATGTACAAGTACGTCCTCTCTTCGTCTCTGGAAACCGTTTCCCCTTACTATCTCTATGACTTTCCTATTTATGCTAAGCGGAGTCACCTTCTTATGACGATGACCGACTAATCTCAGTTGTGTTCTATTACTTGTCCTCGCCTTTGATCTATACTCACGCTTTCCTAATATATATATATAAAAATTCATTGAATTACAATTACTATACATATACATAATAATATAATATAAAACAGTATTAATTTATATAATAATAATGAGGATTATTACATTCCTAAATCCTTAGAACGAAATTATATTTAACAAAAAAAGAAAAACATAATTCTAGGACTAATTCTATTACAATTATAATTTCGTACAATGATAAGTATTTCAAATAATAATTTTACTTTGCTTCACACATCAGTTACTCTAATGGTGGCAAAGTGTACTAGAATACAAGATTGTAATCGCGTAGTGGTACCGGAGGTGGTGTTGTATCCATACAATATTTTTTAATCATACTACAAATAATTAAGATTACAAAAAGAATTACAATGCTATAAAATATATAATTATAATTTCTATATACCTACAGATTGTTTTGTTATTTGATAACCAATATCTCTATTTATGTCATCCAAAAAGTTAGATATAGAATTAAAATAGTGTAGTTTTTCAATTTTCCCAATATTTTTAAATGATGGTATAATAAATGTAGCATCCTATATAAATTTTGTACCCCCGTAATTATTTTCGTTTCCAGTATCATATCTAACAATTTTGAATTTTTAACCGTTGTAACCGGATGTAATATATTTTGACTCGCATTCCCTTTACATTGTTCCTCGATAGTTAATAATCATGTTCCTACTACTTCTATAGTTTCAGTTTTCTCGTCTACTCATCACGTTAATACTGATCGTAAATCTAAATGATCGCAATCTAATCGTATGCGTTAGGTATATACGTACCCGAACTGTTTATCCATAATTTTAATTGGCATCAGAATTATATTACACAAAATAAAATTTTGTTGATATAGTAATGGTATTTTGATATTAAACATCAGTAATTGTTTTGAAACACAACACTGACTTCTGATAATTGATACAAATTATAAGGTTCAATATTGTCGTTATCAAGCGGCAATGATGTACCTTTAGGTAATTATAATTTAATTTCCTATTCATACTCTCGTGTCATGCTTCGATCTATAAAACTCCCGAATTTATTTGACCTGTCCTTGTTAAATTTATCATTTCTGATATATAATTAGTGTCTCAAATGCATACTGACTTAGTAATAAAATATTTAATAATAAATATTAATCTTGTATTTATGATCTACCTTGATTGTTTTGTTTATAAACTGATCTGATTAATTTCTTATATCTGCCCATAAACTCGTTAATTTTTTTACGTAAAAATTTAGTGTCTTATTAAACCTTTTTTCCGATTGTTTAATTACTGTTTTTATGAATCTCGTTTGTGATTTTATTATATTTAACGCACTTTTTTCAGATTCCAATACATCATTCGTGTTTTTCTTTATGTAACTATTATTGCAAATTCCAAATCAAATGTTTGCTAAATTACCCACACCGTTAATTATTCCTCTCCTCCAATTTTTAGAAGAATGTACCAATGTTTTCAAAATGTTTTCTCTCTAATTCAATATTTCATTGGTAAAATCCGTAAATACAGTTTTGAAATGTTGACAAATTATGTTAGCTTTTGATGGAATTAATTCGTTTTCAATGCAATATTGTTTCGTTCTATCTAAATATGTGTCAAAAATGTTCTCTCGTTCATTATAAATTGTTAGATTAACATATTATGTCAAAAGTGTCCATTGTGTGCTTACAATCGTGACGGATCTTTTGTTTTCAAAATAAAGTAATGAGTGGTTGCTCACATGTGTAATGTCGTATAGAGCTTGTTGTGTTCCGTGCGTATTGGTGTGTATATGACAGTTAGACACATGATAAATGATAATCCTATAACAATTTTATTTAAATTAGCGCCTATAGTTTTCTTATCTGTTAACTAATTATCACTTATTTTACTGTGTACTTTTTTTATATATATTATATATTATTATCTTCATACGATATATCGACAATATTTCCTACATTTTTATTTTTAATTGCTCATTTCGTTCAATAATTGTAAATGGTTCGTATGTACTCTTATTATTTTATTATTTTTCCTAATCGACACATGTACAGGTTCATGTACCTCAACGATTTCATATGGACCTATCCAATTAGGTTCTAACTTATTTTTCTTTTTCATATTTTTCATAAGTATCTTATTTCCTATTTCTAATTCTATCGGATTAATGTGTTTATCGTAATTAGATTTCGATTTTAATTTTGCCTCAATTAAATGTTTTTTTGCCATTTGTCTTGCTTCCTGCATACGAGTTCTCAAATCACTTACGTAATCATTGTAATTATAATCTGACGTTGGTGGTTTCAAAAAACTTGATGGAATAACCGGTTGTATACCAAATACTAATTCGTACGGCGTAAATTTATGTGCTGTGTGTGGTGTTGTGTTATACATATACATAGCATAACTCAACATTTCACACCAATTCTCTTGTTTTTCATCACTAAAGTTCCTCAAACACTCCTTCAATATCTTATGTGAACGTAAGGCTCCATTCGTCATCGGCGAATAAGCGGTTTTTTGCATTTTATTTATCTTTAATAATTTACACATTTCTTTAAACAAAGTAGATAAAAAAATTGAACACTGATCGCTTAAAATATGTGCAGGAATACCGAAATAACATACAAATTTTTCTACAAAAGTCTTAGCAATGGTTGCTGCGTCGGTTGATTTTAAAGGATAAGCCACCGAAAATTTTGTTAAATCGTCCTGTAGGGTTAAAATATGTGTATAATCGTTCATAGATTTTGCCAATGGTCCTATTACATCCAAAGCTACTCTTTCGAAAGATCTCGACGACGTAGTGGTAATTACCAACGGTTGCTTACTCTTACGTTTTTCTTTATTCACTTGACATGGTTTGCAATTATTAATAAATTGTCTTACTTCTTTCTTCATACCTTTCCACTGTACCCATTTTCGTAATAGTTTTACCGTTCTTGAAACCCCCTGATGTCCCCCTATGCACGTCATGTGTTGTTCCGTGATTAATGCTGTCTTAACTTCATCTGGTATTTTATAATCGGTAAAAATTTTGATTTTTATGTTACTCCCTTTAAATATATATCTTAACATACTCCTAATTATATCACAATTTAAACTCGTCATCATTTTCGGAATCGCTAATTTGGTAATACGTTCTTTCTCACATAAATTTTTAACATTAATTAGCGTTTCGTATAGTGCCTTAAATGTGGGACTTTGATTAAAGGATTCTTCCGTGACTGCATACAAATATTTTTTATTATTATCTTTTACTACTAAGACCTCTTTCACCATTGTGTTTCGTATCATTTGATTACCAATATGTCCTAATTGTAATAAGTATTCCAGTAATACATTAAATTTTAATGTTAAATCCGCAGTTACAGTTATTAGTATATCATAATCATTCGGTATCTCGGTATAATTTTCATTAACCTCCTCAATATTATTATTTATATACACATTGTTATTATTCATGAATTCTTCAAACGTCATTTTGTTTTGGTTTTTAACTACGCATATAAGTGATAAAGCATCGGCATTACTATGTTCCGAACCAGGTTTATAAATTATCTCATTGTCAAATTCCTGTAATAATATACGCCACCGCACTAATCTAGAGTTCATATCCGAGACATTAAATAACCAAACTAATGGCCGCTGATCAGTAATTATTTTAAACTTTTTCCCCCATAAATATGGCCTAAAATGTTTTACACCAAACACTATACCTAAACACTCTTTTTCAATTGTCGAATAATTAATTTCACTGGTATTCAAAATCCTAGATGCATATGCGATCGGTTTATTTTTACCCATTTTGCCCTGTAATAATACACAACCCAACGCGTAATTAGACGCATCTGTTACTAAGAAAAATTCTTGATCGAAGTCCGGGTATTGTAGTATAGGTTCTTTCGTCAAAATATTTTTTAGTTTTTCAAACGCGTACTGATGTGCATCCCCCCAAGCAAATATTGGGTTCCTTTTAAGTAAACAAGTTAAAGGTTTCGCATTTTTCGCGTATTCTTCAATGAATCGCCTATAATAACCAGTAAGTCCTAAAAATGCCTTAATATTTGACGTATTTTTTGGAATTGACACCTTTTTTATACAATCGATTTTCCCTTCATCAGGTTTTACTCTGTCTGCCAATAACCCGTGATCTGAATAATTGTTTCCAAAATTCTTACTCATTTTGTAAAGATCTATTTGTTCCGTTAAAACTTCTAAATGTAACAAGTAGTTATCTCTTTGTTCACCCTCTGATACCCTACTAGCTAAATTGAAAAACCACTCTAAATCTGTATCTAATATTGACATAAATAAAGTATTATATTACCATACAAATTGCATGTTATTCTTTTTGAACTTGATTTGGTTGTTGATTGTATTTGATTTTACGTTGCTTGTTGATTGAATTAGGATTCTTGTGGATTGAAGTTGAATGTTCTGTTGACTGAAGTTGGATGTACAGTTGATTGTAGTTGATTTATGTTGATTGAAGTTGAATTTGATTTATTGACTTGATTTTCTGGCGTACTTATTATACATTTTTTATATACTTACTGATGACGTAAATTGCACTTGACCAAAGAATTTTTGCTTGATTTCGTTTATTTCGGATTATGATTGACGTTGTGTGGTTCCAATTCAAACTGTTGCATGAAACATTCGACACACAGCTGCAGACGCCACCAAAATGTTGTGACGTGTCCGCACTCAAATTTGAATTAGATTTATATTAATAAAGACACGCAAATTTACGTATACTAAAAATGTATTTATTAAATGTAACAAACGTCTAGATCTGATGTACAAGTACGTCCTCTCAGTTACTACATATACATAATAATAATAATAATAATAATAATAATAATGAGGATTATAACACGAGTCTGTACGACGATGTAACGTTATCGTTAGGCAAGTGTAGTTCATGAACTACTCGGCTCAATGAGTAGACTCTTATAGATGAACTAATCGAGTCGAACCAGTGTTTCAAGAATCGGCAACTCAGTAATTCAGTTATACCAACCAAAACTAGGTAGTTCAAAACAGAGTCTGAGTGATCAACTTACCAGTATTCGTGGAACAAGTCACTACTCACAAGTCAAGTGTGATTACTGATTTTACAAGTTGGCAGTAAGTTGCCCTTGCCCACTCTTCACTAGTTCCTACGACTCGCAACGAGCTAATTAATTCAGAAATCATAATCAGATAATTATCTCTTAGTAATCAGAAATCACATTTATATTTTATTATCTATGATAATAAAAAAAAAAAATAAAACAGGTGGGCAAGTAGGTGTCGCCCTGCTGTACAGTAGGTTACAGGTGGGTCACTGCAGTGGATGAAGTTAAATTTAAACTCATTGATAAAATATCATTGTATAAGAAAAACTATTCTGATCGAAAACGGTCAGTCAGCCTATAATATTACTAAGTATATTTGATGATATCATTGTGAATAAAGTAATTTATATAAAAGCTATATAAGTGGAATTCGAAATTGAAATGCTTATAAAAAAAATTGTGCTTATGTATTTTTAATATTTTTCAACTTCTATTGTCAAAATATATCAGGAGCCTTGTATTAAATTTTCAAGCATTATTACCAAACAAATAAAACTGTATTGACAATTATAGAAAAAAAAATAAAAAAATTGAAAACTGACAATAAGCAGCTCATAAAGAGTCAATATTTTATGGTTTATAGAAAATGAAAATAATTCAATAATAATTCGATTTTATAAAAATATGAACTTCAAATTCTGATAAAAATTTAATTTCATTTGTTTGTAGACACTTTTTTTTCGATAAATGTAGGCAAATGTATGAGGAGTCATGTATTACATTTTCAAATCTTAGATTTAAATAGAAACATTTTTATGAATTTCTAACTCAATATAACTTGTACGTTTTCGTGAATTTTACTTATTTTGTCAATATTTGAACTTAAAATAATAACTTAAAAAATCGTAACTATGGATTTTTAATATTTTTAATCTTTCTTTGAAACAATACATAGGAGCCTTCTATTAAATTTTCAAGATTTTTTAAAATTAAATAAAGCCATAATATTATGTCATATAAACATTTTGGCTGATTCAGATTAAAACAATTGTGGTGTGATGTAGACGTTTTGTTTGATCAGTCACAATATGATGGATAATTAATTAGTAAATACTTGCTGGGTACTGGTATAATAATAACTAATAAGTACAATTTTAATTTTCAAAGTCATAATTTGTTTTATTTCTCAACATTTCTTTTCATATTTAGTCAAATGTTGCTAATTATACTTCCTAATTTGGTTGAACTTTATCCACAACAAGATGAAGAACATATATGTTGTGTGAAGAATTTCTCAAAGGACATGTGCTGGTGCCTTGAGGGCACAGGGTTTTATGTATAGATTTTTTAACATAATTACAAGCATTACGATGCATAATTTATAATAAGGAATTTGAACTGGTTTTAAGAATGTAAATATATTGTACAAGTAATACCCATAGGTAGGTATACATAAATGTATGTAAGCAAAGACTAAAGCATAAAGAAAGTACCAATTTCAATTGAATACATTTATTTTAAACACTTGATACCTTCTCAAAATATATGTCATAATAATAATTAATAAGTAAAATTGCTATTCTAATAAATAATAATATTATATTAGATACATAATTGAACATAGTGATAATAAGTTACTATATAATATTACAGACTTGAAACTTAAGTAACATTTTAGTAATTTCTTATTACAATGATACTTTATTCAACAATTGTATGGAATGATTATAAATGTAGGTATAATATATGTTATAAGGTTATAATGTATAGGGTGAGAATTTGTTAAGTATAAATAAGTAAAATAGGTACAAATCAGTGTAGGAAAATAAGAAAATATTCAGTATTTCTTAAAAATTAAAGGAACAACAAATTTAGAAGCCAATATGTTATCTGTTTCTTATATATAAATATACTTTTATATCTAATATATAAAATTCTTGTCTCACAATGTTAGTGTGAAAATATCTGAAATTTTATATGTCAAACGTTATTGGAATCATGAAATGTATTGCTGTAAATATATAACGATAGTCATACAGTAATGTAATTATGTATATTAATATTAAGGTTCGCTCAAACCGAAGCGGCAGCGGTAGCGGTAGCGGCAGCGGTATTTATCGCTTTTTAAATACCGCTGATCTAACCTAACCGGAGCGAAATATTTCGCCAAAAATTACTAGTCGACATTGTGACACCCATGTGCGTACGTGTATTTTGTTATTACGTATTATATTTTTTTTACTTATATTAATATTTAAAAGTACAAAACAACATATTTCTATATTTTTTTAAAATTGTTATCATACCATGGATATTTATCATGAAAACTCAAGTTCAGATGAAGAAGATGTATTACTGTTAGTAGCTGTAATGGATGATGAAGAACAAAAAAGGTACCATAGGATTATAATATTAGGCTTAGGGACTTATAAATCACAAAAAATTATAATTTATTATAATTAG